GACTAAACCAATGTTTTAGATAAAAAAAATAGTAATATATTTATAAAATAGTAATTAATAGTATAATTTTTAATAACAAAAATTCCAGATGAAACTTAATTCTAAGATTTTTAAGGGTTCAAAGAAAATTCCTCTATTGGCCCTACTACCACGCACCCCTTTGTAGCAGTGTCATCATTACTAAATTATTTGCTAAATTCACCTACTGCTAAAACACATATTAAGTATATATAAAATTAATAACTCACCATTGTAACAGACAAAAGGTAAGCAGAAATAACAATCATTGTCATTCTACTGATACTGGATGGACCCATCTGAACGTCGCACAGTTCTGATTACCTCCCAGATTATCAGGGTTACTTTCATCCCAGTTTCTGAAAGAGCCAGTGCTTCCATCAGACCACATAAACACGTCTCTGAACAGCCTGACCCAGACTCTGTTGTTGTAAGCATGCATACAAATCTCTTTGTGCTGTGCCGTAGTTTTCACACTCACCAGGTCAGTGTAATACTGTCTGCCGAAGCTCTGACCGTCTTGCCATGACATAGTTGTGGTTTGTAGGGTGTAACTTTCTCTCCCATTGCTGTCATCTGGAAGAAAATAATTGATTAATACAGATCAAATCCATCCATCATTCAAGGCAGTTATTTGAAACCATTATGGATGCTGAGGTAATTCGTTTTGTATTTTCTAAAAATTTGTTTTTTTTGGCAAACCAGAGAGGAGTTTTCACTGATTTCACTGATTTCATTCAGTGGGTATTGGATATTTCGGACTCAACGTATTACACTGGCCATTGACCACTTTTAGGCCAACCCTCATAAATTAATAAGGGATCAGTATTTCTCCCCCAAAATTGTATCGCAAGCAGTGTGAGAAGGCTTTGAAAAATGCACTGAAAGATGCATTTTACAGAAAATATAATCAAACAATTAGCTGAATAAACAAAATAAAAATATGGAAAATCCAAATAATTTAAACATTTTAGAAAGAGCTGCACAATTTGGAGAAAAAGTCATATTGTGATTATTGTGGACAATGTTGCACAAAATACGGATATTTCTCAACTCAAACAAAGTTGTGGGTTTATTGTGTTATGAGTGTTGCTCTCAGGAGGAGGAAGCTAAAAAGATCACATATTGGGACAAAGGCATCCTGACTCTGCGTCTGTCTAAATCTACATCTGTCCACTGCAGATGCTCTATCCACAACCTGAAGGAAGAACTAGTATAAATGAGTGTATTAATGTAACATATTAACATTAACATTACTATAATACTATTTTACCACTAGCTGAATAATAAATCCAGTTACAGCTGTTTCATTTCTGTGGGTTGTTATTATTTATTAAATCCTAGTGCAAAAAAAAGCTCTACATTTGTTAATACTACATACTAACTTAATAATAACTCAATAATCATATTGTTTAAAGACGTGGCATTATGCTCTTTGTTTTCCCCCTCTCTTTTATGTTTTATATCTTTTTTGTGCATGTCACAGCATTACATGCTATACAACGTGTTGTTGGTTACCCCATACAGTAACCAAAATGTCAACTTCAATTCATTATTCAATTTTGAGATTCATCACAAAATTTTTAATCGTTGCCCAGCACTAATTTTGATTTTATTTATAACACCATCAAAAATATGTATTTGTGTAAAACAATATCATTAAGAAGTTCTTAATATATTCCCACATTTTATTACCTTTGCTGGTGCATGTCTTTGTACTGCAAAAAACACCGTGTGTGACATTAAAAGCGTAATGCATTAAAACATGTTTATCCACTGCATTTACCCATCTGAAAAATATATTTATATACAGCATAGTCTATAAATCCTGGTCCCATCTGACCACATTTAACATTCTTTTAGAGAGTCAAAGCTGAAGATGGATTCTGCAAGTCTGTGTGTTGACAGTGGCGGAGGGTCCAATGCAGGTGACAGTGTCTTTTTAAGTTGATGCAATTATTTGCAAGATGGAGAAGTGAGTTGGGGAAAGTTTAATCCCATCCCGTTCTAGGGAAAGTTTCTGCAGCACCTTAAAGGTGTAGCGCAGTGTTTGGGGGGCATGCAAAGTTGAGGGCATAAATCAGAATATTTTACACGTTTATTTAAACAGGCATTTTTCAGACAAGAGTGATTGGTAACATAATGTAATATACATATAACATTAAATATGTCAAAACAAGGGCTGGAAACTCACAAAAATATTTTATTTAAAACACCACACTATTATTTACAAATTTAGACGTGTTTACAGGCTAAATAAAGTAGTCAGCTGCGCTAAAATACAATGCAGTCCTTTAGTGTATAATGTTACACACCAGCCTAGCAGCATGTATTAAGTTAATTTGGTAATGTTACTTTAATAACTTCTTTAGTGAAATTGTAATAATTTCAGGTTAGTCAGTATGTACGTTAAACACATCTCCACTTCTGTTCTTCTTTCAACTTACCCACTCTTTGGCAACTCTATACCTTTACAGTATAGAAATTAAATAAACAAACGAGCTTTTAAGCATAGTTACATGTGGGCTTTTTTTTTCTAGCCCTGGTAACGTTATAACAATAACGTGGCAGGGGTTTTCTAAGCCAGGCAGCTCTTGAGACAGTGGCAATGATATCACAAAAGTAAAGCCCTGTCATGCAGCACCTCTGTCTCAAACAGAAACAGATTCAGTTGCCCTGCTTTGGTCTATTACCACTAAAATGGCAGGTATCTTGTCTTGTCCATAAGCGCATGTGTGGATTCAAATGTAAACACCCACTTGGATTACAATTTACTTAGTATTTTTAGCTATTTATTCAGCGACTATTAAACTTTTAAATAGTATGTGCATCTATAGTAAAACCTACTCCTTCCACACAGTTAGTGTATTACATGAATAAAATGTGTAAAGATTTAAATATTTACTTAAGAAATTGTAGATCTCATTGAAACTTAATTTTATATGTAGAAATTAAGACTTTAATATATTTTACTATACCACAAAGTTTGTTTTTTCAGTGTACACATACGTTGTCATGTCATCCTGCTGACCTAAAGAGACTTACAGGGAGACAGCAACAAAAATGAATTTCAGGTCTTTCTTCTGCAAAGCAAGCAGGGGACATGCAAAGAGATTGACACACAGGAGACGACACACTTTTTTCCACAAAAGCTCCCATTAGGTGGCTTTAAAATGTCATGCTATCAAAATAGAGGGACATGCATGCAAACAGGACATCCTCCTAGATCGTAAAGTGGTTTGCAGGAAGGGAAATTGTATGGAAATGTAAGGGAAATGTCCAGATGTACACACAATAACAAGGTGAAAGTTAATTTAGTTGTCGGTGATGCTAAAGTGACATCAGATATTATTATCAAATATTATTAAAGAGGTGGTGTTATGCTCATTTTCAGGTTCAAAATCTTAATTAGGGGTTGTACCAGAACAGGTTTACATGGTTTCATTTTCGAAAAACACCATATTTTTCTCATACTGCACATTGATGCAGCTCCTCTTTTTTACCCTGTGTGTTGTACGCTCCGCTCTTGAGCTACAGAGTGATGCATCTTACGTACAAAATCTTTGTTGGGAGGTGCATATGCGCAGTTCCCAGGTAAGAACTACTAGCCAATCAGAAGCAGAGAAGGGCGGATCATAAGAAACAAGGTAATGTGATCCAAATCAAAGACTGAGACCGTAACCTAGCAGATGTTACTCTCAAGTCCACAACATCATTGTTCCACATCATACCATTAGGACTAAAGTTGAACTGTTGCCAATGTTCTGATGATCTATGCTGCCTTTGCCGAAAAATGCTACCATAGCGCAAATCGATAGACTCGACCCTGCTCCATTTTCCATTGCAGATAGTACCCAGAGATAGTACGTAGCTCGTCGTCATAGCGACGCCACACACAACTGCTGCGACATAATGTTCAATGCAACACACACACCAGCGATCCACACAGCTTTCTCTTTTTTAAGTTAAAACGTTTCAACATTCCTCAGAATGTAAAGACAGATAAGCGGTATGAAAACCTTCCAGCTGTGTTTTCCTCTGCCATTGTTGCTGCAGCGGTCTGTGTGACGGCGGGAGCAGAGGGCTCTGTGAGCGGGCGGCTGGCCGGCCTCACACGCTCCTCCCGCGGGTTGGCGCAGGCTTCCCCCGCAGCCACTTGCGGAGCTCCTGAACTCCGACAATATTCAAGCACATTTTTGTTTCGCCATCGCTTAAAGTAAAACTGTCAATATTCGAAATCTACACAGCTGTTTTCACCTGAAAACTTCTCAGAAGTGGATTTAGTGATGAAATTCCATTCAAAAACTGTTGCTTTCTGTTGCTGGCCTCTGTCTGGTGCAATGATGATGTAGTTAATAGTGACGATTCTCTCTGACCAATCAGCAATCTGTCTTGTTTTCACGTTACATTTTAGTTTCCCTCAGCTCGCTTGGAACCTCGACGGAGGTGAGGTGATACGAAAAAATGTACCTGGAAGCAGGTACAGGTACAACATTTCTACAATGGAAAACCAAACAAAGGCGAGTCGAGCCAAAGGGCCTCCGCTCACACTAGCTTGGTTTGAGGGCGTGCCTGACCCCGCTAGCCGCTTGGCAAGCTTTATGATGCGTTTTCATTGTGATGTCACAAGTAAAGGAAGTGGAGGACTGGACTACAAATGAGCTGTTTTCAAGCGGTTCAGAGCAGAGTTTTCTGTGGGAGATGGGAACTCCCTTTAGGCTGGACTTTGGGGTTTTTCACTTTGCAAACCAGTTACATGCACAAAAAAGATAAATAACTCAATAAAGGAGAGGGGAAAAGCCACAAAACATAATACCACCTCTTTAACTTTAGTTGTTCTCTTGTGTTAGTATATGTATTTAAAGACCTGTGAATACATTTTGGACTGAATGCAACAGTTTTATATCTGGATTTTAATGACACTGTGGGTTATTTATTCACTTTCATAATACACAAAACCATTATCCGCTCCACATGTAAAGTCATTCCACACACCCGTGTGAGACATCTGTCCGCACCATACATTGTCTGTGAGTTCCACCTGCCCAAAGCCCGATCCAGCTGTATGTCACATGACTGCCCAACGTGTTGACCAGCATGTTATTGCAATCCATGTTGTTCACGGTGGCCAGGTTGGTGCACTCTACTCTGCAGAAGCTCTGAGCCTCATACCAGATCAGGGAGCCATTGATGAGGTGGTACTGCAGAGGCACTTTGGGCAGAAGGTTTAGACATTTAAAAACTCTCAGCAAAGCAGAAACGTTAATATTCAAACATACAAACTGCATCTACAGAGAAGATTAGGCGTGTCCTGAATTACTGCAGAACTGAACCTCAGCCTTTTTTAAAATTTATTTAGTAATAACATTTGGAAAGAGCACCACAACCTTGTGGTGCGCAAACAATCAATCAGACATAATGTCATTATCAAATCTGTATGACTGTATAGTTGAGTTTAGTTTAGATACACAGTTTGTAAAATACTCTTGAAAATTTTTTTTTTCCAGTTGCATCAGTTTTGTAAACAATTCCAATTCCTTCTAGTTGAATTATTGATTTCTGTCATAATGCATGAATGTTAAGTTACTTGGTTGGTCTGTGAAATTTTCAATACATACTACTGCCAATAACCTCAGGAGCATACAAGCCCTGCCCGTAATTACACAAACTGAATGAGTTTTATTTGAATGTTAACTAATATAAAAGGGCATGATGACCTCCAACAAAATCTGTCAACAAAAGTGATGACATCTTAATTCATTAGATTTATTAGAGAATTCTATATTTTACAATACAGAATAATTTTAGTGCATTTTTTTAACACAGACTTACTTCTCCTGTTGTTGAAACCTGTCACAACCATCTCTGTTCAGGAGTTCAGGTTGTGTGTTGGGAAAAATTTTTCATGTCATTTCATGCAAATTTTGACCAGTAGTGAGGAGGAAACACGCAGATTTGTTTAGCAGTGGTCCATTGACATCAGGGTGATTTGCTTGCCCAGCTTTAAAACAATAAAGTAATAAAACTTACGCTTCCTTCCAATCCTGTTCTTAACTAATTGCCTTACAGCAATTATGTAAAACATAGATAAGTATCAGTAAAACTGGTATCACACACAGTGTTTTACAGTAAATAACAATAATAATCATAATAAATAAAACATAAGCAAGTCAAAGTACAAATAAAAGAAAATCCAATTATGCATCACACAGTAAAAGCTTTTAAGAAGTGAGAATAAAAACAGGAACAGACTCTGCAAAAAATTATATAACATAGACGTTTTGTGTGTATATTTTGTAGTTTAATTTTTATTCTCATTTTATGAATATTTTCATAGGCGAACAGATACAAATTTTAGACAATCTTTTCAGGAATATTACCATAGTCAAAACAATGCTGTGTGTTACCGGACAGAGCTAAGCTAACTGGCTGTTGGCTACAGTTTTTTAATTATTGTACAGACATGATAGTGAACGAATCATATTATCTAACTCTCAGCAAGAAAGTAAATTAGCCTGTTTTCCATAATGTCAAAGTATTCATTTTTATGTGCATCAGCTGCTGCTTCCATAGTGGACCTTTAACAGAAACATTTGTTTTCTCACACAATTTCTTTGAATGCAAAAAATGAACCTTCCTTAATTTAGTCATAATTGACTGAGTAAGATTAATGTGGCTCGGTTAAAAATGAAATGTTAGCACACAGCCAAAGTAACTTTAAAAGAAACCTTGTATACAGTTACATTGAGTAAATTAAAAAGAAGGGGGTAAAAACACAGCGTTTGTTTACAAATACATTTTCATCTTTATCAGCTTTCCTGTTTTTACCATCCAGTACACACAGTCCACTGGTCCACATTGTTCAGCTTCAGCCCAGTCAGAGTGGCAGGACTCTTGATTCAGCTCCCTCCGGTGTCACACACCTGTTGGAGTGTATTTGTGTACTTTTACACTTCCCTGCTGATAAACATGTTGCCCTTTACATCATTTGCTGCTATGTCAAAACTTGCACAAGTCAAGTCAAGGCAGTATGACTTGGGATCAAGTCAGCTGAATCCCACAAATAGCCACAAACAGTGGGCCAATGTTCAGGCTTTATACTGGACTTTTATTGAGCAAGTAACTAGACAAACTCTATTTATGCAGCAATTTTAAAAATAGTACAAGTTAAAGAAAGAATAAAAGAGGAAGAGTGAAATTTTAAAAACTGACAAAACAGCATTTTTAAAAAGTGAAGAAAAAATGACTATAACAAAAAGAAAGAGACTTGGCAGTAAACATGACATTAAAGTCTTACTATGTTGTCTTTAGTCTTGCGTGAAACTCGTCCTGACGTCCTCCAGCTGATCTTGAAGTCACTGATCCTCTTGCTTTTCATATTTGTCTCCAGCTAGGAAGCATTCACAAATAATTGGTTTTACATTTATTCTACCTTTAATAATGAGCAACTTGGGTATTATTAGATATTGCTTTTTAACTTTTAATTACTAATTGCGTCATCACGACTACTAACGCTGCTACAGGGGTCAGAATTTGGACTTTCCATACATGAAATGTTGACTAAAAGTTAAAATTGAATAGGTTTTACCTCCCACACCATGCCCTCACGCAGTGATAGACTTTACGAAAGAACATATGACACAATATCCCATTAAAATTTTTCTTTCTCACCTGCTTCAAGATTTGTTGTTGAATGACCGGGTCACTCATGTCAAAGTCAGTGCGGATCTTCAACACAGATCTCTTCTTCGAGTCTGAAAAATGGCATTTTGGCATGGCAAGAATAACAGACTGGTACTGAAAGTAAGAATACTGTATGTTACAAATGAATAATTGCTTAGTAAATAACATCAATTATGAATAAAGTCAATTACATTTTTCAACCAACCAAAAACATTTACTTAATAAATATTGATGCAAAACAGAGAAAAGCAGCAAATCCTCATATTTGAAGCTTCAGTCAGCAAATGTTTTACACTGTTGACCACTCAGTCCTAACAGTAGGTGGTTTCAGTCCTACCTTACAGATTGGAGCTTCTCTGTCCCCTCGGTGGACAGCCCCATTTACCTAAAGGTTCTGTCTTAGGCCTCATCTTATTTTCTTTGTATATGCTGCCCCTGGCCTCTATTTCTGAGAGGTATGAGGTCTCTTTCCACTGTTTTTCAGACTGAACTGCTTGATGTAGATTCTCTCGGCCCTTTAACTTCAAACAACTGCTCAACTGTGAGGAGTCTTGGTGTTGTATTGGATAGTGCATTTAAATTTGATAAACAGATATCCGCCACTGTTAAATCCTGCTTTTTCCAGTTGAGAACTATAGCCAAGGTAAAGACCTATCTCCCTCCTATATATTTGGAGAGGGTGACCACATCTGTGTTGCGCTCCCTCCACTGGCTTCCTGTACATTACAGGATTGATTTTAAAATCTTACTTTTAACTTTTAAATGTCTTAATGGATTGGCTCCATTGTACTTAATGGAGCTTCTTCACGTTCATACTGCAGCTAGAGTGCTGAGATCCATCAGTCTCCTCCTCCTGGATGTACCCAGAAGCAGACTTAAAACCAGAGGCGATCGAGCCTTTAGTATAGCTGCCCCTAACCTGTGGAACAACCTGCCAGTCCATATCAGAACCGCCCCAACTCTCGAACGTTTTAAATCACTGTTAAAAACATCTTTTCTTTGGCATTTCCTTCGAGTTAAGTCTGTTATTATTCCTGGCAATGTTAATATCACTATATATTGTATACTGTATATTACAATGTTTTATTGCTGTACTTTTACTGTGTAAGTTCTTGTTGTTGTATTTTAACCTGTGAAGCACCTTGGTCAACCTTGGTTGTTATAAGTGTGCTATATAAATAAAATTGATATTGATATTGATGAGGCTTTCTGCAACATATGCAAAGTCAGTTACACAATTTTTATCTTGGTTTGCACATTTGCGTTTTATGTATTTTTGTGGTTAAACTTAAAAGGTCATGTTTTACCCTTAAAGCAGCGTGTCCTCCAAAGAAAAATGACCATATAGGTTGTTTTAGCCACACAAAATTACCACTCATGTTAAACGTTCGTTGTGGCAGCGACCTCTAGTGGCCGTACAATGCAAACACATGACAAAGACGGTGACGTATTATAAATAGCCAGAAAGTGGAATTTCAGTAGTGGTGGTGGGTAGGGTCCTTCACCCAGGTGACTGGCAAACTTACGTAGTAGCATTAGCTACTTTAGCAATAGCTTTAGCATTAGCTACGTTGGCTTCGTAGCATTAGCTTGGTGAAATTAGCTTTAGCTACATTAGCTTCATAGGGGTGTGTGCCTAAACCTAACTCAGTGTTTTATGCATGTAGACGGTGAACCAACAGCTGTACAGATCACGGCCGATCTGCTAGCAGCAGGGTTCACCTCACTTGTGTCGCAGCGGTTTCCCCGTGTTTATGTCATTTGACGTGGGTCACGTGATTTCCAAAACGAAGGTATGGTAAGCCGCTATTGTAGGATACACTCATATAACAGCACCTGTAGAGGCACCATTTTATAGGCTCATATGAGTCGTTTTTGGAGGTTGGTTAATACGAACTTGTTGTTTAAGTTGGAGGACTTGTTTCCAAAGAGTAACTTAACAGCCACCTAAAAATCTGTGTTTTGCTGCCCTCTCCTTTTGAGAGTTTCAAGCCTGTTTCATCGCTGGTTTGTGGTTGGTTACCACACCCAACAGTAATGTAGTACACTGGGGGTAAGGAATGAAAGGGGGTGTTGAGTTACTCCTTAATCAAGACCTTAAAGGGATGTTCAGCATGTGTGCTTACCAACTGTTTCACAGGGCACACTGTTAAAAAGATAAAAGCTAGAAAAAATGGTATCGCCTCATTAATTGTATATTTCGACAGTGTCAACAGGTACCTGAAATAGTCAGCGAGTAAAAAGATGAAAATCTTTGTCCATTTTGTTGTAGGGTTAGGTTTTGTTGTTGTTTTTTGTGGTTCATCTTTTGCTCTTTCAGCATGACGGTGACAAGTGAAATGCTCAGCTCTCATTGGCAGAACACCCTGTGATAGAAACATATTTTGGTTTAAGTGGGAAACAGTTTAAAACTTACCAAGCACATACACCTGTACTTCACAAAGTGTCAAATTCTTCTGTAGTCCAGGAAGAACAACATGGACAAAGCGACCTTCCATTATTCCACACTGGTAGTTGTATTTGCTCTGTCCCGTTGCAATGGAGATGATGGCACACCTGAAATATAAGAAAGCGATAATCAAAGGCTGATAAGTACTAGTACTTCTACAGCAAGTAAGTACTCTTTTCTTCCTGCACCTTTGGTTGCTGGTGTCATTTTTGAGACCGATGCGGATCTCAGCACCGTCCAGCTCCTCTGAGCAGCAGTCGCTGATGCTGGTGACAGACACAGCTGTTATTTTGTAGATACTCCTCAGGTCCAGTTGCCACCAGGGGTTGTCTTGCAGTGGAACTGAAGCACAGGTGCTTTGTGGATCCTTCCCACTGTCTTCATCAATGGCCATTTGTGGAGCTGTTGCTGCAGAAGCTGGTCTTCCAGACTGTGTGGCTACTCCTCTCGGTGCCACGTTGGCTGACAGGAGTGTCATGAAGGCATTTGCGAAAAAATGAATGAGTAAGGACCAGTTACTGATTCATATGGAGAATCACAGCACTTAATGAAAACTGAAGTACTTCATCACGACAAAATACTCTACAGCACATCTTTGAGGCCAGATTGCTTATTGTAAAGCAAATCAAAGTGTTAGATAGATAAACCAAAGTATTAGACACATAAAATTTATTTATACCTGATATTGGCATTTGATAAAAATTAGGGCAAAAAACACACACTTAACCATTGTGTAGATGTTGAGAAATTTCACCATATATGTGAAAACTTTAACTAGTCACTGGGCCGTGAATGTGTGTGCAAAACTAACATTTACAGAACATTTAACAATTTCTCACCTAACATGCAATTTAAAGTAAAGGATCTTCAGGGTTATCAATTGAATAATTATATAAGCTGTGCTCTGCATTCACTTTAAATCAGATTAAAGTGTTGAAATAAAATTATTTTGAATCATGAAAATCATAGAATGATGACAGAATAATTTTGTGAAGATTTGATAAAGATTTGAATTTTGGAATAATAGCTGTAGTTTCTGTGTTGAGTGACTTCTTTGTTTGTTTGTTCATATCTTTGTTTTGTGGCAGTATATTATATGTTTTTGTGGTCAGGTTATGATGCCTGCAACTTATTTTTTTTTCTTGGTAGTTTTTACCTTGCATGTGGATAGAACGCTTACAGTATGTTAGTCAAGCTTGTTATCTGTCCTTTGCTTCCCTGTGTGTCATATTGTTTGAAATATATAACTTTTTACAAATATTGCTCTGATTGTTAGTGTTTCGAAAAATAAATGCATATAGACACATTTTGAACTCCAAAGAATTGCTTAGCCCTCAGCATGGACACTATTAATATCTGAGCACAAAATAGCTTCTAAATTCAGCAGAAGGCTGAACGTGGACAGACCTTAATCTTCAATTAAGTTCTTTTGTAAATCTATATCAATAACACTAAACAATATTGTGTCAATTTCTTCTTCATTATGTTCACACAGAAATCATGGCATAATTGAACCAACTATTTAGAGGCCATTGCTCAGTGCTGCATTACTTCCTGTAAGGGTTGTAGTGGCGTACACTTTGACCTCACAAAGCTGAAGTCGCCTTCCTACACCACGGATGAAAACATTGACGTAACGTCCTTCCATCTGGTCGCAGTTAAAGACATATTTAATTTCATTGATCACAGTGATGACTCCACATCTGATGGGCAAAAAGACAGAAAAACAAAGCTATTGATTGACAGTAGGATGACGATTCCTACCTTTCAAAAAATGCTAGTTAACGAAGATTTATCCGTATGCAGCCTTTTATTTAAATAATGACATAAAGACGGTGGATATTCGGTAATATGAGTTCAGAGCTCAGCCATAATGTGACGTTTTAATTATATTATATAAAGTGCTAAACGATTCATTATGTACTGTATTATACTATTAATATAGTTAAGTATAGTAAGTATATATAATTTATATATTATATTAATAGTAATGAATCATACTGCATATACATTTTAATAGATTAAACGTAATCCAATATCTCATATGCGCTCCTCTATTATACTACACCACATATGGTGTCTATACTATACCTACAATACTGTGTTTGGTTTAAGGTGCAATAGGCTTATTTTTAAATAATATAATTTTACTTTACTTATTAATTATCTCGTACTTTGTGTATTTTTTTGCATATAGGCAATCATTCATTTACGAATGAAATAGCCCCTCCCAAACTGAAAATATCCAACATGAACACAACATGAAATCAAGTTTAAACCATTACATCACCTGGGATTGTTGTTGCCATTGTTCTCCAGTGAGTTACCAATGAGGATTTCAGCCCCCTGTTGATCATAAATGCAGCAATCTGATCTTGGGATCACTTCAATATATGAGATGTTGTACGGACCCCGCATGTCCAGTCTCCACCAGGGGTTGTTTTCCCAATAAGTGCAAACACAGCTTCCATTAAAATAGTTTGAAAAAGGTTTGCCATCAATCACCAAGTATGGCAGACGTGTCGAGTCACCCACTGATGACTGAGCAGCCACTCCACCCAGAGCCACATTAGCTGGAAAGTAGGCACAGTGAAGTGATTATAGTGTCAATAATCAAATGCATGTTTGCAGTGCAAAATATAAAACATCTACACAGAAAAGCACTTGATAAGAAGATTAAACATGCTTTAAAATTAAAGGGAGAAAATACATATTATAATATGTATTTTCTCCCTTTAAAACAAAAAGACTATGTAGCTTACTGAGTCTATCAAAGATTGTTCTTTAATTGTTCATCATCCTTTATCTCCGTTAGCTAACTTATCCACACTCATACCAGCCGAAGTATGGAAGTACGATAACAAATCAGAGTCAGACTTATCTTGTGACCCTTTGAAGGGGGCCCGATCAGTAGGTTAGGAACTAGGATAAACTAAACTACTTAGCTGTATAAAGTAGTTAAAACTTGTTCCACCTCAAACAGCAAGAACAATGTTGCTTAAACACTATATATTATACAGTAATAAATGTCTGACAGGATGTTTTACAGCACAATCAGTACATTTACTTGGATATTTTAAGCACATTAATAATATTTTTGTACTTTTCTTACCTGCCTGGTGAGTAATCCTTAAAGTGAGAAGGATTGACCCTGCATTGATACGAAACTCAAATGAGCATGCAGCCTGTGTCAGTTCTTACATTTTTATGGTTTGTTTCCTTGTGGCTTAATAAATACATTTTAGTTTCAGAATGTATCACAATGTGAGAAAATAAAATAAATGATATGGGAAAATTAAAGAAAGTCATGTTCTTCTTGACCATACAGGATTTAATCTATTAATGAGCTATAAAGGAATGAAATTATCTCCGATCTTTTTTATTGCACTTTGAATAGTGTTTTTAGTTCAAGTTCAAACAAAAATCCACTTATTTAAACACATGAATGTCTTTGTATCACTTACCCCCAATAAAAAGGATTGTCCAACTCCACTCCATGATCTATATTTAATTGTGTGTAGCACAAAGAATGCTTTTAAACCTCTTCATAAAACATAAGCTTAAAGGCAAAACGATGGCAAGACTTAAGTTAACAAAAAATCTCAACTTGCCTGTGATCTTAATCTTTTATGTGATGTGCATTTGAATTGATTTGTATACGGATAAATGCAAAACACATTTACATCATAACATGCATGAGAAACAACACCTGACACCTGCTCAGTGACTGGGATCAAGTGTGCTCAACAAAATACAATGATAGCTTTGACCTCGGGGTCAGCAGTAGTGTCGAGTCTGATGCAAAGTTAAAAAATAAGGTGGAGAAACTCATACGTACAGCTACAAAACATGAGCTACATCATAATGAGTATACTTAAAACTTGAGTCTGCAAATCACTAAATGTAGTAAAATGATGTACAATCTTCTTCCACAATGCAATGCAAAAAACTGTTAAGCATTAAAGTGAAGTATCCGTTTAAATCACAGTTTTACTGCCTTTGCACAACCCCCATGTTGCATAATTTAATGATAGGCTATAAAATGGTAAAGCATATTGATTTCTTGTTTACTAACTGCAAAACCAGAATACTACAGTAAACTGTATACTGTGTAGTATGGAACTGGGACACAGTTCATAATAGTTTTGTTAGTTTGCTTATCATATTTGATGTGGTGCAAAAGTCTGTATAATATTTTATTTGCATCATAAAGTACCAACAAAAAAAAATCAGTAACAAATCCTAAAGAATTGCAGTGAAATTTTAAATATATCATGAAATATGACTATATTTAATATGTTCTTTTCTGCTCTCAGTTATGAAGAATCCTTTTGAATTGTTAATGTTCTGTCTTCAGTGATTGAATATTACAATACTACTTATTTCATGTCCTGTGTGCGTGTACTGGTCTGTCTGTCTTAGAATAGATGTTATCTATTAAAATGTGCATGTCATTGATTTGGTTGTCAGCCGGGGTGACAGCTGACAAGACGTTCTTGATTTGTTTCTCTACTGTGAGGAGGATTTTCAACGATTGATGTCATTCATGCTGACTTTTCTGCTTGGAAGCTCACATTTGGTTTTCCATTCAATTAACCAAATTTGAATGTGCATGTTGAAAAACTTTGAAGCAAACTAATGGGCTGGCACTTTGACAACAACAAACCCCAGCTCACAAAGTCATGTGTGTGCAGTGATTTCTAATAGATGTTTATTATGCCACATTGTGGTGTTTATTGCTGAAACTATGATTCTTTTGCACAAATCACACAGCAAAGAAGTGTATTATCATGCAGCTACTCCACTACATTTGTCTGAAAGTTTAGTTACTTGCATTGCTGTAGTTGCTTTTCAGATTAAGAAATTACATAAAGAAAAATGTGATAGACATGTTCTTAATGTCAGTGCTTTCCAACCTTTTTGGTTTGTGACCTCTTACAAAAAGCAGTGTGTACTTGGGGCCCCTTTTCACGTTTCAGATGTACAAACGTGGACAAAATTGTTGGTACCATAGGTGTCATTTACACTGGGGGCGCTGGGGACATGTCCCCATCACATTTTGAAATGGATGATTTTGTCCCCATCACTGTCATGATACTGTCTGTATTTTTTGTTTTTTTGTCTGCTTTATTCGTTCTGTGTTCTGAGTCCAGTTCCTGTTTGATTCTTGTCTTGTGTTTTGTTGCTGACGTCTTGTGTGCAGTCTTCTGTTCTGTTAGTCCTGTCTTATAGTTCTAGTCCTGTCTTTGTTGTTTCTGCCTGTCTGGCTTAGTTACCTCTCCCTGTTTGGTTGTTTGATATCAGATTGTTCTGTTGGTTTTTGAATTTTTGAGTTTTGTTTAAAATAAACCCAGAGAACTGAAGCTGAACCTGTTTGTGCCCTGCATTTGGGTCCTCAACTTGCTTTTGAGGTTGGAAGGGTACCTTCTCCAGACTACATGTTTCAGCTCCTTCCACAGATGTTCAAAAGGATTTAGATCAGGGCTCATAGAGGACCACTTCAGAATAGTCCAATGTTTTGCTCTTAGCCATTCTTGGGTGTTTTAAGCTGTTGCAAGACCCATGACCTGCGACTGAGACCAAGATTCCTCACACTGGGCAGAACATTTCTCTCCAGAATGACTTGATAGTCTTAAGATTTCATTGTACCCTTTACAGATTCAAGACACCCTGTGCCAGATGCAGCAAAGCAGTCCCAAAACATAGCCAAGCCTCCTCCTACCTTCAGTAGGTACAGTGTTCTTTTCTTTATATGCTTCATTTTTGGGTCTGCGAGAAATAGAGCTGACTGGAGCAAACAGCTCTAGTTTTGTCTCATCTGTCCAAAGGACATTCTCCCAGAAGCTTTGTGGCATTTTTCCAATTTGCATTCTTGCTTTTTTATAATTTGCTTTCAACAGTGGTGTCTTCCATTAAGTCCACTTTGGCTTATTTACGTATAAATAACTGATTCATCACATCTTTGACTCTGTCCTTCTTTGGGAAGAAAATTTCTTTCACATTTGGCATAGTTGGCAGGATTGGATGCTCCACTGATCAACTCTTAGGTCCAAACTACAGGTAACATTACTGGTAGTGAAAGTCCAAGTGAAAGGGAAACCGCCTGACTTTTGGACCGGGTCCTGACTGTGTGGTGACCGGCTGGACGCTCCAATTGACTTAAAATAATGAATACGGTGTTTTGAATCATTTCTTGCAATTGGAAAAAAAAGCCTAGATTGATAGAGTATGTGGGAAATGTTTATCAGAATTCGACGTAAAACCTTCGTGGTAGTCAGATGTTTCTGGTAGTTTCGGTCAGACATCATTCCAGAAAAAGTTCTCCCAAGTGGGGTTTTGTAGAACTATAAATAAACCTTAATTGTCAATCCTTCAGGGTATTTGAAGATAGATCGGGTGTGGTGATAACCAGTCTCATGTAAATCCCGAAGAGCGTATTAGACTAAAAAAAAATAAATAAAGTAACAGCCTATTTGCAAATCCTGAGTGATTCTGGAAACAAAAAGAAAAAAGACCTGCGTGTTTATGAAACAAGGGTGAGCCCTTGCTGCAGCGGCCTCAGACCTGTGGCTGTTGTTTGCATGTTATTCTCTCTTTGTCTCTCTGCTGCTATAAAACGGTCCTATCTTAAGTAATATTAAATATATATATACATATGAATATACGTATATACTATTAGTTCTGTTATGCTAAGTAACACATGCCTAGAAATAAATTAAAGATGTTTTCATGTAAAGTCCTATAGAGGATTTAAGAGGTTTTGTGGTTTTAAAAGTGTTTGTTCCAAACATTATGCCCCACTAAGAACAGGAAAAAATGAAAGTGGGTGTATGTATGAGATTTTATGAACTGCATATAGGCTACAGAAGAGTGAACTGCTCGGGATGTGATCATACAGGTCATCTGGTGGAAGTTTACCAGACTTATTGTGTGCTTGATAAGATCTAACCATATACAATATGGGAAGATCAGAGTGATTGTGTTTTTTGTGTCATTTACTTTGCGATGACTCCCAGTCTGTTCTCTGCCACCACAGACGCTTTTAACTCCCTGTTCATTCAGTAACTGTCCCAACTCGTTATTGGTCCATGACAAAAAAATGTCTGGTGCGGGTCTTCATCTGTAGTAGGCTACTATATTCTTTCACCAAATCTACTGTAACTACAGAACAAACAATCTGCTTCATGTTTACAACAGAGGATGGAGAACAGTTCTGATACGTAGCTAAAACTCTGGTGTGGACGGAGATCATATTTGTTTTAAAACTCCATTTTTAAAATAGCCACGAGCGGCAATGATTGGGATCCAAGCAAGTCGTGAAAAACACAACATTTGACATTTGCAGAGAAGAAGAGCAGATGCAGATGACGATTAAAGTGATCAAAGAATTTGCACTTTGAAATAATTGGGGAAATGCA